TCCCTATGGTCACCGAAGCGCCATGACTTTACACCCTCCCAGACATATGCATATCATTGGAAAGGTCTTGAGGTGAGCTATCGAATGGAGTCATTTTCGGTCCAAAAATTTCAAGTTGGAGTGGCCAAATTGGCCAAAAACCAAAAAGTTACCGTTTGGCCGGACACATAATGGTCATTAGCTCGAAAACTAGCCTTTCATGGTCACTTGAAAATTTCACCGATTTTAAGGCCCAAGTCTAAGCTATAAAATGCCGCATAGCTTATATCCCTAAAAATTCTTGTCTTCACGATATGGCCTTTGATAGTGCGAAAATGGCCAAAAATGGCCAAAAATGACAAAAAATGTTAATTTTAACATTTGAAGTATTTTATGGGCCAAAATGTACTCCAATGACTCTGTAAATATGCTCTATGCCTAGCGAAACAAAATTGAACAAAATATCGACCGTTTTGGATGGCTATTCCACCAAAAATCGGCCAAATGTACCAAAAATCGAATTTTCACAAAAAAGTCTAGATGTATGAAATATGAAATCTTAAGGGGCTAGTCATACGATGTAAACATCGCTGGAATCTATGTTTCCTATAGACTAAAATATTTACTGAAATGTTTGACCACTTCCAAGAAGTGGAAACTTTATATAATGGAAACAAATGGTCGCCGATTGAAAGTACCTTTGGAATCATGTCTTCAAGATTTAGATTATTACGAACAACCATTGAACTCAGCGAACAAAATGTTAAGTATTGCATTTTGGCATTATGTGATCTGCACAATTGGATTATGACCATTGGCCGTGATCATTCAATCACAAGAGAAATTATTAACTCAGTCACAAGGCATGTCGATTTAAATTACGATGACGATATCGTGGAAAACGATGAAATAGAATCAAACGAAGCAAAAAATATTCGTAATCTATTTAAACAATATTTTATTGCTCATGTCGGCGAAGTACCATGGCAATATGACATGGTGTGATGAAGGATGAGAGGTGAGGATGAGAAGATGAGAGCGAGGAAGAGGTGTCACGATAAAGCGTATCATTTATCATTTTGTGTTTGTATCTTGTGTGCGTCTGTTGTGTTTTCTAATTTAAAATGGATAAAAGAAAAGTTAACCGTCAATGGCAAAAGTCTGAAGTGAGAACTTTAATCGAACAATTGGAAGCACAGCCCGATTTATGGGATCCATCGAGACCAAACTACCAAAATCGGTAATTTCCAATTTGTAATTCATGTTGCAAATGAGAATTTCACATCATTTGACATCATATGTTTTGTTTTTCAGAAATATAAAACAAAAATTGCTTCAAGAAATGGCAATATCTCTAAATGTAACGTCACAAGAAATTTCATCAAAATTACATTCGTTGAGAACACAATTTAATCGAGAATGTAGCCGAGAAAAAAAGCAAAAAAGCGGTTCCGGGGGTGATGAAATTTATATATCAAAATGGGAATATATGTCCAGCCTACACTTTTTAAAAGTAGGATCGGTATCTGGCGAAACTTTTTCGAATTTGGTACATTATATATTAAAATATCGCAATTGAATTTTTTTTAAAACCAAATGTCGTGGTTTCATTTCAGAATACGCACACATTAAAATCAAATGATTTGCCGTGCCTTTTAAATGAGCTAGAAACACGTGATTTGATAGTTGTAAGCACAGATTCCTCAGACACACAGTCCGAATATGGTGAAAGATCCTCAAATCAAAAGATAACACATTCTCAAACAACAAACCAAAGAACCGCGAAAAGAAAGTACTACGAAGATAAAGAAAATCTGTTAATGGAACGCGCTATAGCCGTGATGGATCAACGATCAGATGAATGGGACATATTTGGGCAATTCGTAGCCAGTGAGCTACGTCAGATATTTGATCCAATTAAGAAAAATACTGTAAAAAGATTAATAATGAATACTTTGATGTCTCAAGGAATTTTCGAACAAACGGAAAATGGATTTACAGCTGAAACAAGATACATGGTCGTCAGTGACGATGACATTCAAAAGAGTAATTCTTCTTTATAGAAAATCAAATAAAGTACGATAATATTCACTGCCAAATTCGTTCAAAAAATTTCGTGTAAATATTGCGGCTATGAAATAATAAACACAATGATCAAATTAAACCCTGTTTATATTAAATGGTTTTATGTTTACTTGTCAATGTGCCACATTAACTAAACACTCGCTATTCTGTGCACAACTTGATTTTTGACACTTCATTCCTTGTTTAGCAAGCAAACAAGTTAGTCGTATTAATGGAGGCCGCATTTCAATTGCCCGAACGAGAAATCGTCACATTTCAATGTAATTTTGTTGGATGTGATTATAAAACCATCCGTGAAGATAATTTGGAAAGGCACAAGCGCAACAAACATGAAAAAATTAAAGTAAAATGTCCAGGCTGCGGAATATCATTGGCGCCGACTTCATTGAAACGTCATTTGGATTTGTCGTGCAAAAATCCTCAAACGACAAAAGAAATTATTCAAAAAGCGAATATTGATGACAGAAAAGAGGATGAATTTAAAATTGAAACAACCATAAAGTTTGTCGATGGAAAAATTAATTTTACCCAAAACACCACAAAAATTGGAAATATGAACATCATTTTGGTGCCAAAAATACTATCTTTTGGTGGTAAGTTTTGCTTGTGTGCAATGTGTAAATCATATTATTTTGAGTTTTTATGCAAAACAGAAAGTTATTTCCTTCAGAAACGGACAATTCACTGAACGCTATGGTAACCAAGGTTTCATCGGAACATTTTGACGAAGAACAAAACGACTCTCTATTGGATGCTACCTGTGTGCCTGAATATTTGCTCGAAGAAGAAATCGCTGATGTTGATAGTCAATAACATCTGAATGCAACCGAAATTATTATAACTGATTAATGATGATTGATATCAATAAATAAATAAAATATGCATTTTCTGCATGGAATGAATTGAAAGCGTGTCTTTTCAATCATCGTCATTTTTAGCTTCTTTAGTTTTGACATTGTGACATTCTCTTCATCCTCATCCTCATCACAGATGAGGTGTATGTCAATGCAAACGGACGATACAACATTATTTGCTTGCATAAATTATTTGGTATGGTTAATTTTATAAACTTGATATTGAAAATGGATTCTAAAAATCATATCGATCTTAAAATTTCGAGTTTGGATTTTGATTTAAATGGAAATATTACTAGAACACTAAAACGATCGGATTTTTGGTCAAATTCGAGATCAAAATCAGAAAAAATAGCACAAACACAGCATTTGAATGGACCACAGGGAGAAATTATACAAGAGAAATCCATAAAGAAATGTTTGGTACAACCAATTGCTTACAATTTAAGAGAAAGGTTTTCGAAATTGCGACACACATCCGTATCTATTTCAGCGAAAGAAACCACACAAAATTCTGGTAAGATCATATTCGATACAAAACGCCAATTTTCTTATTCAAAATGTTTTTCATCTAAAATTTGTAGCGTCAAAGTTGCAAATGAAATCGGCACAGAAGCCAGCACAATTGGAAGCTGTTGAGGTAAAAGAATTGACGACGTATAATTTTAGGAAACGAGCCTGTATTTTGGATAGTGCCTTTCCTCCGTCCAAAAGATCTCGTAGTACAGTAGCACGTAAAAATATACGTACACCAAACTTGATATTTGCGCCGAAATCAATGCTAAAGGAAGGACTGGTAGTAATTGCGAAAATGACTTCATTTTCAGCCTGGCCAGCTAGAATTCAATCATTCCGAAAAACTTGTGTGAATGTGCACTTTTTTGGCGATGACACTACTGGAACAGTGAAGTATGAAAATATCGGATTATTTGGAGATAATTATGAACTTATCAAACACAATTTAAAGAAAAACCTCAAAAACTATTACAAAGCAGTGCGTTGTGCAGAAGGTGCTTTGAATGTGCCATGTCAATTGTCCATTTTACAATTTTAATGTATTAAAAATAATTTAATATCCAAAAACGATTTTTTTCCCTTCAAATAAATAATAAACCGTTCGAATTAAATCATTTTTGTTTTACTGGTGAGGATGAGAATATGAGAGTGAGGAAGAGGTGTGACGAGAAAGTGCATCATTTATCATTTTGTTTTCGCCTTTTGCGTGCGTTCATTGTTCCATTTTTTCAGTTTTATTAACATTTAACTTTCTTGTGGATGTTTTTACACTGTTCAAAATACATTTCAATTGAAAATTTTATTTATTCGAATTAAAAATGGTTGTTGTGAAAAATAAAATAGCTGCAGCTATTCTT